CGCGTAACGAGTATTCTAATATTGTGAGAAGATTGATCCGAGCGGCTGGATCAATTCCTCTGGTGGGATCTAGGGAAGTGAGGACTGAAAAGGGGGTTTATTGGTCCATGAGGTTTAATTTACAATCAACTCGGAGGGGCACCCGAGGTGCCTTGACCTAATTTTCTCTGGGTCATTATACTTCCGCGTCGCGGCGGTTTGAGTGTCGTGATAGCGCGCTTTAACGGCGGTAGGTTACTGAACGCCGGAGTGGTGACGTGGGAATTCTTTGCTGTTTAATGGCGGTCTACACGTGACTCTAATCTATCTCGCAATGCTGAGATTTCGAACTCAGCTGTTCGAAGGAAGTTAATGAAATCTTAATCTATCCGGTTAATCAGAGCAAGGTATGGAAATCGCACTAACGGTTAGAATTCGGTTTGATCGCAGATGAGGGGTTCAGAAGTAAACTAGAATGGAATGAAGATGAGTCGAGTTTGCGATGGATCCTCTACCTGACTTGATCAGTGCCGAATTCGGTGACAATCTCCTTTGGTCGACCCAGCCGGATGACTGCGCGTGGACACCTTCGTCCCGTAGCGTGCCCTAGGGTTGGAGGTCTCCTAGAAGCCTCCCGTCCAACGGAAGTCGCAGTGCCGCCGTCTGTTCTCGACTCGGTGTGCTGGGATCGCTGGAGTACTGGATGGGACTACTGCAGCTCGCAGAATAAATGGTCTTTGACAGGGAGCCCAGCGGTCTCGGTCTCTGACTCGATAGGAACGGAGTACCGAAGACCAAGAGCTCTACTCGAGTTTGTCGACGGACGTCGACGTTGACTATCTTGAACAGACTAACTGGACTAATTAACTACATTGCCTGAAGGCTGGTTTTATTGGCAGGGTGTTCGAATTGATGGGAGGTCCTTGAGTCCAACTGAGGGTGGCACTCCTTTGTCGTACTGACGCGTTGTGTAGTCATCAGGTTTTTCGCCCCGGGTCGATCGATGACTTTTGGACTCGTCTTGGCCGATGAACTTGTCGTGTCAGGTGATTTAGTGCTGAATCCTTTTGCAAGTTTCCTAATCGCGTTTCCGTACTCGGATTTCCATGGCTAGCTCCCAGTGATAGGAAAATGGGTTTTTCCTTAGGTTAGGGTACGGAGGGTGCCTACGTAACAATATCTAATGACAAATTCTATGATAAGTACGGCCATGCTGGCTGTTTCTGCCAATAATCCACTGCGCATTTTCTACAATGCATGACGTCACGAAATACAACTAGCGCTGGTGGCGGAAATTCGCTGAAATTGGTTCTAACGGAAATGTCCTCGTTGACAACTAGCATGGTCGCACCCAGAAATGATAAGTTGGGTTATTTAACGGTAGTTCCCAGTAATATGCTGTGAAGCTTAGTGTATCATTTTCCCTGCGCGATCTTTTCTTTTAATTTTCATTAGTGGTTGTGTGTAATAGTGCCATAAACGTTGAACGAGTAACGACACAGGCCATGTTGAAGCGCCACAGATTCGCGGGCTGCCAGTACGTATATTTGTTATTTATATATTTTTTCTGATGAATAATTTAAAAATCTGGCTCCGTAGGGAAAGTTATGTATTCTAGAGGCTGTGATTTCATCCATCGAAGTTATTCAAACAAGAATTTAGTAGAATATCCAATATAATTTGACACAGCTGTCAATACAAATTGATCGTCGCTAACGTAGGTTATAAGAAAAATCTTTTTTAGCGACGTCTATTAAATTTTTCTCTTCACCTTAAATGCATATCGAATTATGAGAGTCTAATCACGTGCAGTCTCTTGTCAGTTGTTCAATTCTGAATCGAAATCATATAAGAAGTCGAAAATGACACAAGAACTCATGGAAGTTTCTTAAATTCACACAATTCTCGAATACACAAATGAAACATCCGTCTACCTATTCAGTGTGTCTATATTGAGTGCAGCTTCTTCATGCCCATATCTTCACTTAAATGTTCACGTTGTAATTTAAAAGTTTTATTGCCACTTAACAGAAAAAGGTCTTTATGAGGGTCAAACTTCTTGCTCTTCACTCTTCATCAATAACGAAAATTGAGTTTTTTTTTTACGAATTGAATACAAAAGGAAAGTAAAAAATGGCGCTGATATTTAACGTGCACTATCTTAAAAAACGAGATAACTCGACGAAAGTCGAATTTTAATAAACATAGTGTCACTTACAGGTCATTTACCATAATTATTAAACAGGTTTTTATTAAAACAATTTGTATTACAAATTATTAAATTCTTAAACACATAATGTACTGTCTCGCAAAATGTGAACATCTTACTGCGAAATATTACGCCCTTGTTACGAGACTACCCTATTTTCTCAAAATAATGAGGCGCGCATTACATTAAGTATGAGTCAGTTACTGGAAGATAAATATCGAATACAAAGCAACTATAGTAGCATCTGATTAACCCAGAAAAATAACGAGTGGAGTAATTATCGAGGAATGTTTTGGCGTATTCGCAAGCCTTGCACACCGAACTGCACTCTGGACCAAAACACGGGGCCTACTCATCTGTCAACATAGTGACTTCCTGATCACGTTCGGTCAAGTCCCTAACAACAAAATCCAAAAACAAGGAAATTGGACCCTGTCCTCACGGGCATCTCAAGGATAAGATCTCGTATTAAAACGGCACCGAAAAAGAGCATGTCGCCAATCTGACTCGGTCTGTTAGCCACCCTTCTACTAAAACCGACCTCCCAGTCAGTTAGTCCACACTCTGTATGGCTGGGGTTCTCTGCAGAGCTGACCTGTTACTGTAAGTAACAATTGTGCTTTTCGGTTCTCCGACATCCACGAGCCAAGAGTGAGAAGAACGACGGCGCTGCGAATTCCGGATCAGCGGGAGAATCTTAGGAAGCTCCAGTCCTAGGACATGCCCTGGTTTGAAGGCGTTCACGTGCAGTTTATCGCAACTGGCAGGACATAGAAGAGACGTCACCGAAAGTAAAGGTCTCTGCAAAGTTAAGGTACAGGTTCTCTTTAAAGAGCTCCACCCTCCCACTCTTTCTCTTTCATCACTCTCTTTCGAACCCTATTCCAAATTACTAACCCACAATAGAAATTGGTATTCACCTAACGGTAACGACCTCCAAATTCTAACTCCTTACAATATATATCGCAACTCATTAGTTGCCCTTGCTGAGAAAAGCAAAGCGCAACTTGCTAGCGAAGAATCTGGCGTCAGCATTTCGCAATTGATACGCGGACATATATCGTTACACTTCCGCAAGCGCGGCCTCCTTCTTGTTTCGTTTCGTGACGATCCGCTTAGCGCAGCATATCTTTTGCGCACCTTACCTCCATGGAAACTGTACCCCTTGCATCACAAATAGAACTATTTGATTCAATATAAAACGACGACTTAATTCTCACGATACCATATAACCCCTCCTGAGTCTTCATTGCAACTTTCCAACCACCCTTTGAGGACCAAAACCTATCAATCCCACTAAGGAGGTTGACCTAGCCGCTCTGGGTTATCGTCTCCATATTTCTCAAATCATAAACTGGTTATGCGTGCGTACGAGTTATTTCCTCTACGAACACTATACCGCTCAGAGGAATCTGCAAAATTTCCCCGGCCTCGATAGCCACTCAGTCGCCACGTAACACTCTTCACGGCACGGCAGAGGTGGAGGGTTCGGCACGAAAAATGGTACGAGGAGGAGTCACTTTTGAAATCCGCGGGACGAGAGCAATTATTGAAAAAAAATGTACCAAACACATATGGTAAACAATCCCTTCGAGATATTTATTATCAAATCTAATGAAAACGGAGTGTACGAGAGCGCGCCCCAACACTTAATTACACCATGCTCGGAGTGAGGGTCCAGGTACGGAACAGTAACGTTAATTAATTAAAAGCGGGATAAAAGAATAAAGGTTGTACGCAATCAAAACTCGGGCTCCACGGTAGAAGTCCGAAAAAGGCACAACGCCCTAGTGAGAGGACGTCGTTGCCCCCCCAAGGTCCTCGGTAAGGGCCCAGTGCCTACGGTAAATGCGCAAACGGACTTATGAATTATAAGGGACTTAACATGTCCGGGATCGGAACGATATTCGCACGCGGCCGGTACAAAACCAATGGCTGGGGATCTCTGAAAAAAGCGGCGTAACATATGATAACAATTTATAATTCCGGAAGTCCTCGGAGCTACGCAAGGGATTAATCAGAAATTCCACGGAGGGCGACATAAATCGTTCGGAAATCAGTCGGCAAACGATCGAGAGTCGTCGGCGAATTGACGGGAATCGACGGAAATCGGCTGGAAAAATCGACTCATGGCACGAGGAGTTGGAAAACTTTAGCGGTCACGACAAGGCTCTCTGGGCTGGTTAGGGCTCTCCTGTAATGACTTCGTCGTTGAGGCCCCTACACTAAAGACTCCCTCCGGGTTGGTACGGGGCCCTTCTGAAAATTCAGGCGGTAAGACGCCTCTTCGGGTGCGGTCGAAGAAATCCTGGACGGAACGACACGGAACGCGCAGGACGGGACGCCGGAAGGTAGCTGCGGCGTCGACGACGGTCCCTCTGGCAATGTCCGTCCGGCCGTAAGATCTTCGCCAATGCCATGGTCCTCTTGGTGGGCCTGAAGGAACTTGATCTTGGCGTTCTGTCTTAATATCTCGCTATTCAAATAGTGTCACTAGGCCGCCTAATTAGAGCAGCCGACGGCCGATGGCAGCAGAGCCCCCATTTCGGGACTGGGGTGCGTCACTTAATCCTAGAGACGATTAGAATTACGCGTCGCTCCTCTGCAGAGGTCTACCGCAACAATTTTTGAAATTTTAGAACAACAAAACATCACAATTTTAGTAATTGTCAGAGGGACTCCTCGCTCCGTCCGCAAACCCTCTTGTGACTGGAAAATATCTTGCCACGTCACAACAGATAGAAAGGCATGAATAAAATTATGGTTTGTAAGTTCTTGACTAGGTAAATTCTTTGCTTCAACCAACCATTCCTTCATTGCTGTCACAATACGTATATTTTGCATGAAAATACAAAAGTGTATAATAATCGTTAGTAATGTTTCCATTATAGCGCAAATGTCATACAACTGTAGCTTGTTAATTCTCGAATAATTAAATTATTATAATAAAAATCGCTGACATAGATCGAAATTAGAATATTAATGCTATTGAATTTAAGAATTGATAAGTAAAAATTAACATTTTTGTAATTATGATTCATCATCGCTAATACCACCTCCCGTACGTCCTTTAGGTCCTCCAGCCCTTTTTGCCATTATTATTTGATCCACTTTCAAAATTGTGCATGCTGCTTCAACAGCGTATTTTAAAGCCCACAACTTTGATAAATATAAATCCAATATTTCGGCATTAACTGTATCGATAAGAGTCGCTTCGCCAATCTGTAAATAATTATTTTATATTTATATTAATATTGCAGTAATAAATTAACTGTACTCGAGAACTAGAATAAGTCAGAAAATGACGTGCCATGGTTGCTTCTACTATTTCTAGAAACACGTGTTCATTGAGTAGATCGAGTAATTGAAAGACGGCTGAATATAGTTAGTAGTGTTTTATTTTATTAATATTTGATACCGATTCTGACTGAGTCGAATTTTTTTAAGACCAATTTCTCCGGTAGAACTAAACAAAACTAAAATAGAAATTAAAAACCTGGAAATAGTATTGATGAATAAATACAAAATATAGTTCGTTTATAATAGCATTTATGTTTATGCCGTATAAATGCGATAGCTAATGGAGCGTAGTCTTCGGTTATCTTTGATGGAGGAAAGGCAAGCGCATTACTACTCCAAGTCACAGGCAAGAGAACGACAGCTGTAAGGAATGTGGCTACGGGTGCCGACACACTGTTCTTGTGAATGCATGAGAGATGGTTCTAACAGACGACAATATTGTTAACTGGGATACAGTGGAGGTACTAACAATTATCAACGTTGGAACTTGAATTTAGTAAAAATACTGCGAGTCCCTCCCATGATTCTGTTACATTCACTGTGGTGAAAATGTAAGATATTTTACGTAAGAATACTCAGCAAGGAATTTCGTGTCGAATGAAGAGATAGGGGAAAGAGGGAGAAATAATAGAGGGAGAGCGAAAGAAACTCAGCGACGAGAGTGCGTGTATATTGTAACGGGTCCAAGTGTGAACGTGCGCAATATAGTCGCAAGTAAATCGGAACACTTAGGGCATGCGCGGCGACTTCGCGAGAAGAGTAGGGTGGCCTCAGGAAGGGAAACCGCAGCCCGCGAGCGCGGAGCGCAGGTCAGGCGCTCTCTCGATTCTTGACAGTGGTAAGACATAGCTCGAGTCCCCTCATGGCTTTCAACCGAGATTCAAATAAGAAGATTCGGCCTCTTCGGGAGTTCTCGAAAGCCGCGGGAATGACTTCGTTGGGAGATTGTTCGTTCCTCGATGACCGAGCATTACCGCTCTCGATTCGAGCCGGACGGTCACCTAAACGAAGAAGTGCTTTGGAGATCCACCTGAGCTCGTTGACCAAGCATTGCCACTCACAATTCGAGTGCAGGCACAGAGGCCCCTACAAGAACGAATGATCTTTGATATAATTATTTGCAGGTCCCATGTTCCAGTGAGCCTGGCATAGCCACAACACCCCACATCCTAGTTCGCTTAAATCCTCCACAAAAATCCTATCTTCGTACCCTCCAGATCGCACGCTGCGACTAAGATCGGATTTCCTTGCTTACAAAAACCTTAACCTAGCCAATATCCACGACTGGATAACATAGGCTAACTAACACTAACACCTGGAGGGAATAACTCTAGAAGACACACAGATCCGCGGTTGATTCGAGTCCGTGAGTCCAAAATAATTAAGAGAGCATTAGTTCCAATAGGGCTGATCAGCCACTCAGAATTAGGTTCAAAATTCTCATTGAAGTTGTAAATTAACAACTCTGTATCTCGAGCTTACCAACGGTCAAATTTCAAATCAAACGTGTGTGCAAAAATTCGAGACTTGGGGAAGAGAAAACGCGGAGAGGCGCGAGGACGGTTACTAAGTCCGATCTGAATCCTACTCCAAAGCAAATTATCCAAATAACCTTTACTTCCCATGTTTCCATGTTCCTTTGTTGATTCTATGATGAACATATAGAACGCACTCTTGATGGAATAAACCGTTCTTACTGAGAATTATTTCCTCTCCTTTCTTCTCCCGAACCGAGTACGTGAGTCAGGGAAAAATCCCTTTAATCCGACTAGGATTAAACCTAATTGAATTAAAGAGGCCGGAAATTCAAGAACTTTCCCAGAAATTTAAATCGCCAAATTTCACTTTAGACAGGACGGCGCCAGAGCGCTGGATAGTCTCGTTACACTGGCCAACTTCGCTACTATAGGCATGCAATGGATGGCCGAATACGGCGGCTCGACGGCCGTGACTATTGTAGTATCTATATCTCTTCACATTTTCTTTAATGCAAAGATTCAACGGGAGGTTATGAATCAGAAAATGATAACGATTGCATTCATATCAATTTTAAACGTCCTGAATCAGTTACCGGAAAGCTATTGATTAATATTAATAAACACTCAACATAGGACGAGACGACTTTCAGTTCCGTCGTCATCTTCGCACCACCTTCGTGAATTTTTCCTGTCAGATGACGCCAGTAGTGGCATTGGTACACTAAAATATATAGTAAACTGGAACGCTCACCACGCTTAGGAATACACGGCGAACCTTGTCTCGGAAAGAAGTAGATTTGGTTGTCTCTGCATCCTTATCACACAAAGTTCAGTAAGCATGGGTGCGACAAAGATACGCGATGGGCCGCTCTCCATAATTGTTTCATCCTTAGAGACAATATACTTGCTCTTGTTTAAGCGATGCGTGCGCATCATTTGTACAGTCCGAAAGGAAAGTTCAGTGGAATGCAACGAAGTGATAGGGCAAAACTTATCGGTGGGAAGTTTAACGGAATACCATATTTCTGTATAGCAAAAGCATGCACTACATTTCGAATTATTTATCTTTAATTATTGTACTCCGTAATTATCTAAGGACAGTTCTCTACGAAGAAAAAAATGTGCAATCGGACTGTACATCTAAAAGTGGGGACGGCTTCAAGGACAGCTCGAGCCGAACCCGCTAATGAACGTTCCAGTTTACTATATATTTTAGAGCACCGCAATGACTTCCCTTTTCACTTCTTTCACGGCGGACGGCGACACCTCCTCGTTTAAAACAGTTTTCAAACGATTTCATCAGCGGATTTAACTTGTGTCATCGTCATATAGATCATATGCAAATAATAGGGTTAAACGTCGAGATTGACCGATTGGTGCATTGAAGATAGTTTCTGGGACGTTGCGGCCAAAAATAAATATTTTTTAAAATAGTTTTGCCGCGAAAATAAGGTAGGAACAACAATTCGTATTGTATTAATTACGTTAATGATATGACGATATCGTAATATTATAATGATCTAATGAGATAGAGGTTAAGATCCAAGCTCCCACTTTTCAGGTAAAACATTCCACGACAGAGAAAATTATGAATCTTGTTTAACTATTTGACAAAATGTTATTTTCGGCTAATTATGTTGTTATAATAAAATTTTGACTTGAATATTCAAGCCGTAAGTAGTTAAAAGACTAGTTAGAAACAGGTATTAGCGCAATGCCAATCAAGTATCGACTATTTAATATTGATAATAGTGACAAAATAGTTATCCTAAATTCAATTTATTTACACATTCACGAATGCCTTTACATTTCAGTCCACAGATTCAAGACCGCACGTAAAAGAGCAACTGGTGGCAAAGTTTCAAAGGAAAATATTCTTAATGTTTACGGAATTGGTGAAATGAAATATATAAAAGAGATTAAACAGGTTCGAGGCTTTTGTCTATTAATTATTTTTATCATTGAAAGTCATGTAAGATTTTCTGTTGATATTGTTTAGAAGACTTGTAACCTTCGATCGAAACGATCGATTTAGCTCATACAGTAACTTTTGTATCCGGCATAGAATATAGTGTATTAGTATTAGTTTGCTCTTCTTACAGTTACCAAAATTAAAACAATATGCAGGAACATCATGCGTTCGACACACATTCAGGAACAGAAAACATTAGAGAGTGTTTGAATGTTCAATAAGTGTCTGCAGTGTTTAAAGAGTGAATCAATGTAATATTAAAAACTTGAAACTATTTATGTTTGTTAATATTAACAAGATTTAATTAAATTACTGTTCATATATTATCAAAATAGAAGCAGTGCTATAAACACTTAACCAAAATTAGACGTTATCTCAGGTAAAATTGTATAAACATCCCAATCAATAATAGAACACTCAGAATTCATTCTAATGTCGTATAAGCGTGAATAAGGTGCCAAGTACGTCGCGTTCCCGTATGTTATTTTAATGTTGGTAGCTGAAAGAAGAGTAAAGTTGGATACGATACAATATTCCATATCTGATACAAAAATTTTTGTATAAGTTGGGTTGCTTGATTTCAAGTCATAAGCCTTCTAATCGATCATAACCACCGGAATACCGCGCGGCAACGGCCAAGTAGAGAGGATGAACCGAATCATAATCCCCGTCCTGACAAAGTTATCTATGCCCCAACCCGCGGAACGGCACAAACACGTGGACACAGTGCAGCAGCACATCAACTCATCTTGTAGTCGAAGTATCGACACAACGCCCTTCGAACTTCTTGTCGGCAGGGCCACGCAGCTGAAGGACGACCTGCCGGTACGACAGGCAATTGAAAGAGAAGTTGCTGAGATTTTCTCAAAGAACCGATCGGACCTTCGAGACGAGGCCATGGCCAACATTCGGAAGGTCCAAGAGCAGAACAGGAAGGGAAGCAACCGAAAGCGGAAGATGGCAGACACATACAGAGTCGAAGACTTAGTAGCCATTCAGAAAACCCACTCGGAGCCGGACTGAAGCTTCACCCTAAGTTCTTGGGGCTATAAAGGGTGGCGACTGTCCTAAGAAACGACCGCTACCACGTCGAGCGAGTTGGCGAGCATGAGGGACCGGGCCGTACCAGCGCATCGGCGGACTACATGAAGCCGTGGCCAACTAAATCCAGGCCCGGATTCGACACCGCGTCGGAGCGGAGGACAACGGCGCCGAGGACGACGGTGACATCAAAGACGATACCACTTGCAAGATGGCCGAGTGTGGAGCCCGCCTGCGCGAGGACACCTTGCGCGCGCAAAGGAGGCGGGAGAGGGAAGAGAGCACGGCAGTCGGCCGCCAGCCATAGAGCGTGTAACATCGCGCATGTCACATCGAAATAAAGGACTAATTTTGTGGAAATATGAGATCCGATCTGTGACGAAACCCCTAGACCCCGGTATCCCTTTCCTACACAAATATTCTTTTTTTGTGAGCATAACATCGGAACTAACCACGAGACGAGCACTATATTAACGTCGGACGTCTGCTAGCCTTATTAATGGGATATAAAAAATGATATATTTAATAGGACAACAAAAACTTGTGAAATACCCTACAAAAACACTTCCGTGTAAAAAAACCTCGCCAAGTACATGATCGTTGCGAATCCCCACTTTGAAGAAAAAAAAAAATATATGTTATTTAGATCCACATTGTGCTTCTACCTGGGGAGGGGGGGAGAAAGAAAAAAAAAGAAATCAAAGCACAAAGCCAAGTGCATACATCGGGAAGTATCTGCTTCTTATATAGTCTAACATTAGTTTATCATTCTTATTTCATTTACGAACTTTAATGTCTTCACTAGTTTTGTTATTACTGCAAATTACATTTAAGTTTAATAATCATAATTTTTTATCATGTACAATGTCAAGTGATTTCTTATCGAGTACTATTTGGCGGATCCGTGCAAAAAATGTCACATTACTGACATTGAGCAGACCGAGACGTTTATGAAATTGATTTCATGTTATTAGTCCACAAATTCCAAGCACTCTTTTAGCCTATATAGTTCCACGTGTGCTGCACAATTAATTTATCCACGTGCTATCCATTTACAACGATTTCAGTCAAGAGGACCCTATCGAGTGTCAAATTTTAAACATATAAAAATAATTTTCTTTTTCGTAAAACACGGACTCGCCAAGTAGTACACGACAAGAAATCACTTAACATTGTACAAAATAAAAAATGACGATTATTGAACTTAAATGTAATTTGCAGTAATAACATAAAACTAGTGAAGGCATTAGAGTTCGTAAATGAAAAAAGAATGATAAACTAATGCCAGACTATATAAGAAGCAGATACTTCCCGACGTATGCACTTGGCTTTGTGTTTTGATTTCAGTATTTTTTTTTTTGAGGGGGTAATACACATACACAAATTACTTCACCGCGTACTTCCTGTTGCACAAACAGGCATAGACCTGATTGCGACAGTTTTCGTTCTCTCACCGTTCTGTTTGACCCAGTCAGAGCCATATTCAAACATAAAGAGTGAGTGGGCCATATATTGTACGTCTGTTTCAATCTAGGGTTTTCACATTTTTACTGGAAGGATACAGAATTGGGTAAATAAACTCGCGTGACAAAAAAGTGCGAGAAGGGAATACTCCCACGAAAGATACAGAATTGACCCCCAGATGGCAGATTAGAACGTCACTCACGGCTATAAAGTACTTATTCAAATGTTATATAATACAAACAAAAATAGAAATGTAAATAATTAAGTGGAATAACAATGGCTAATTTCTAAAACGGGCAAGTGCTGTTACATAATTTGTCGACTGTTTTATAATTCTATTCAGATGAAGAAAAATAAATGACCATTCTTGTTCGAATATTAATCTACAAAATTTCATATATTCTGGAAAAATGAAATTGTAAGTATATAACACGACTCAAAATTTACTTTTATAAAGTAGATATAACCCTTGGTTTTGAATATAGCAAATTTCTTTGTGTCACCTATTTAAGTGGTTCCGTTTTGTATTATATGAAAGAAATTTAAAAAGTAAGGTGACAATTAGCTAATTTACAACACAATAACTATTTTTATAGGTGAATTATTGTAGGTATTAAAAAATAGATGCCCAACATTTTTGTCCGAATTACAATTTTAGTTACATGCAATGTTGAGTTAGACAAAGAATTTAGAAGTTCCTTAAAAGCCTAGGTCCTATGTTCACGTTTAATGCTCTTTGAATTGATTATGAAAAGGGAGTGGGAACAAAAGATAGGTTGGGTACTGCAACATAAAAAACGCATGTGTAACCCTCTACATATCATCATTAAGTTGGAAAGATGATTAGTGCCGCCATCCGTTGGCTAACATACAAATTATCGAACATCAACGGCCGATATCCTTCTGAGCTTCTGTGAAGACTCCTGAATTGATTTAAAATAACATTTTAATAATTCCCATATTAGGAAAGAATAGTAAAAATATATACTTACGTCAATGTTGAAACCGTAGGACTTTTTACCTTCTTTATGTGCCGCATAAAGTTTCGACAATAATTCAGAAGCACGATTGCCACTGTTCTCTGCTAATGTTTTAGGAAAGCTTTCGAGAGCAGTAGAAAATTTGCGAACGGCATACTGTTCCAAACCGGGCAAAGTGTCAGCATATGCAGCAATTTGTGCTGCCAGTTCAACTTCCGTAGCGCCAGCACCAGCAAGAAATCGTCCATCTCTCGTCATTCCTTTAAATGTGTTCACGCCATCATCGATGGCTCGCTCAATGTCATCTAAGAAATTCTCTGTTGAGCCACGTACAACGATGGTACTTATGCGACTTTCCTTTCCATTTATCCTAAATACTACAACTGCAGTATCTCCCAGTTCATCGACGTAAACAGTATCCGCAAATCCCAAATCTTCTTTGCTTGGTGACATCTGCATAAATTTGATTTAATTATTTTAATTATTTTTTAATGGAACCATATAATTCATTTTATCACTTTTAATCGTTGTGTGAAAACAGTTTTGGGTTTGACAACATTCTAACTGGAAACATCAAAAAGAAATCTAGGAAAAGACTATTATATAAAAGTACAATAAGTTCTTTTTCGAACCCTCAAATAGAAGTTTCTTTATTATATCGTTTTCACAGCATAAACAAAAAGTAGAACAATTCAGTTATTCAGTCTCCATTTTTTCTGACTCCCAAAATTCGAAATATTAAAGGTACTAGTTATTGGTCTACGTGGTACATATATTGCTTACCAACTTTGACAATGCAGTCGCTCCTACGGCTTTGCATAGTCTTCTTACATCAAATTTACTGGGCAAACGTACTGCCATTAACTTATACTTGTTCATATAGTGAAGTGCCATATCACCAAATTTTCCGCCTGATACGATTACAGTGGCACCGCTATCGGCAATTGACTTAATTTGAGATTCGAGCAATGATTCTTCTCCTCGAGAAAAGTTCATTAACTCATCTGCCGTTTTTATCAGAACCGTTCCCTTGGTTTCCGTTTGCATAATATCAATGGGACAAGTAAAAACTGCAATTTTTGCATCCGACATCTTTGTCACGTCACCTTCGACTTGACGCTTAAACACCATGCCCTGCACAACTTGAGACGAATTTAATCCTGCTCCCAAAATTTTACACACTCGCACATTGTCTACATTAAAAGTTGCTTTTTCTGGAAGAATAGATACGCATGCCTGTGCAATTAAGTCAGAAAGGAGTTCTTCGTTGCCGTATTGCTTGCTCATTACAGCAGTCTTTATTCCCATTTTCACTTGCTCAATATTTCGATAATCTTTGACGTCGTAAACAATTAACGTTGTTAGTATTTGTAATGCTTTTTCTAGTGCTAATTCGTAGCCCTCCACAATTTCTGAGGTGGTAATTCCCTGTAATAAAAAGTTTTACCATTAATATATAGATAAATTGGGATAATGGAAAAATGATACAAACATTCCTAATAAAAGTTTAACAACTTTTTACTGTACAATATTACATTTTTTATTTTCAGAAAGCTACATCTAGAATGTTAATTCATCCTATTATTCAAGATATACTAAAGGAAAATCGTTGAACATTACATCTTTTAACACATTAACACTTAAACGACCGCTCACGAGATTTTTCGTGTTTCAATGTCGAGACGTAAAAGATCGGCAACGAGATTTCTCGTTTTTATCTCTTTTCGCCGGTCTTAGAGTAAGCCTACGGGAAATAATATGCTGTCATTTAAATGTTAAGTGTCGTTTACCATTTTCTTTACACTATGGCATAAACAGTACCAATACGGCATAAACAGTAACAGTACCATATGTGGTACTACGATCTGAAGAGAACATTCATGGTCAATTACCAGTCACCAGTACGTCGCTTAAAGGGTTATGAAGGTATCATACATATACCAGGTGATTCATTTAACTTGAGACACCGAATATCTCGAGAAATACACACCATACGAAAAAATTGTTCAGAACGAAAATTATTCGTATGAGAGGGACAAACAAAGAAGATCCATCAGTTTGACTGTAGATGGCGCTATTCTCAGTGAAAGTGAGGTTAGATTCATTTTCTTAATTGGCAACCCCCATTTTTTTATTGCAGATTCCTATTCTACGTACAAAAATAAGAAATTTTGGTTCGAAATATTTCTTTCTTCGAAACGTGCATTTTTCAAAGGTTATAAGGGTTTAATGTTCAAATGCACGAAACGACTGCGACGCTCCCACCGGCGGCGTCTCTCCATGGTACGCGTTCAAAGTACCTTCCGGATCTGGAATCTGGAAGAAACGTGACTGATGCCGTCACACTTTATTCTGAGCGTTTTTCAGGTAGAGCACAGTCGCGAGCTTCTTTTTATCGCGTTGTTAAGCAGTCCACTATCCAAGGTAGTGAACTCTTACGAATCACACTAACTCTCAAGAATTGCTTTTCGACTAGCAGCGTCGCTTACCTCCAAAAACAATTGACGATCGCTAGTCGCGGAAATCCCTCGGCAACGCCAGGGTGTTTTGTCGTTTTGTTTGATAACAAACATTGAGTCGTTCCTAAGGTACTATGATCGCGTACCATGAAGAGACGCCGCCGGTAGGAGTGTCACAGTCGTCCGGGCATTTGAACTTTAAACCCTTATAACCTTTGAAAAATGCACGTTTCGAACAAAATATTTCGAATAAGTTTCTTATTTCTGTACGTAGAATAGGAATCTGCAATAAAAAAAGGGGATTGACATTTAAGAAAATAAACCTAACCTCACTTTCACCGACAAGAGCGCCATCTACAGTCAAACTGATAGCTCCTCTTTGTGTTCCCCACTCTGATACGAATAATTTTCGTTCTGAACAATTTCTCCGCACGATGCGTATTTCTCGAGGTATCTCCAAAACACTGGTTGCTGACCTATTTCTATTGAATATTGCTTGAGTTATGAGCTTTAGAACTTACGATACCGGGAGTATTAGCACTATCGAGAATGTACAGCGTAAAGGTTGCATGATAGAACTTAACATCCCTGTGAGTACGTGCGCGCGTGAATGGTTATGTGCTTTAATTGATTAGATGTTCAAATTGTCTCCTATCTGCTGCTTGATAATAACCTAGTCGTAAGTTAAATGTATTGAAAACATTTTGTCTCATCTCTGATGAGATAAGATTCAGTTGGTGCCACATGTCTGTGGTATGCCAGAGGTTTGTCAAATTTCGTTGCGTACATATTGATTTTAACATACAACCATAAAACACAGTCCATTGGAGAAAGATCTGGTGATCTAGAATGCTACTCTATTTCTCTACGTCTTCTAATCCATCGGTTTGAAAAAGTATCACTTAAATCGGTGAAAATTATGCATTTGTAGAAAATCCGTATTCTATTCTAAGAAAGGTAGCACAGACAGTTGAAATTAGTATATTTTTCGATCATATAATTGTAGCGAATGGAAAGTGGCAACCTTCCAAATTAAATTTACTCATGATCTAGCGGAATGTAACATCGATAGAAGAATTGAGTTTCGTGACGGAATGATGCATCGATCTGACGTGCACAATACCTTCTACAATAACATAATTTTTTTTCTGGTGAAGCTTCTTTCTAATCAAATGGAGCGGTAAATCGTCATAATTCCCTTTATTGGAATCATGATAATCCTCATTGGATTTGCGATCTTCACACATGGGATGCCGAAAAAGTTAACGTTTAGGCAGGTTTTTGCTAACGTGATATTATCGAACCGGTTTTCATCGATGGGAATTTAAACTTAAATAAGTATTTGAACTCATTGCAAAATCATGTAATTATTGCTATTTGCGAATTGTTTAATGGAAATAAACGAAATATTTGGTTTTAACAAGATGGTGTCATCACCACCACACTATGCAATAACAGTACAACAATTTTTAGGAGAAACTTTTCCTAACCGATGGATTGGAAGACATGGAGCAATAGAGTAGCCCTCTATACTATATCTTTCTGTTAGACTATTTTTTAGGGGTTATGTTAAAAACAACGTGTACACAACCCAACCTGCTAACTTAGCAGCCTTAGAGAACATATACAGCATCAAAAAAATCTTATCTCACCAGAGATGAGACAAGATGTTTTCAATGAATTTTACCTATGGTTAGGCTATTGTCAAACAGCAGATAGTTTAAACATTTAATCAAGTGAAGTTCATAATCATCCACGCGCGAGCGAGCGCACACACGCACACGCGCGCGCGCGCACGCACTCACTCACTTTAAAACATATTAGTAGTGTTTCCTGTAAGCATTTCCCGTCTTAGTTTCGTTATTTCAAGAGGGCTGAAATAACATTAGGGTGTCTCCAATTAAAATATCATGTTGTATTTAATATTTCTGGTCGCTCCTCTTTCGGATTAAGCGTATCTACGCTAGTATTATTCGCCGCGCTACATCAAGATTCTAGCAGACACACAAACACGGGCTGACATGGTGTGCAAGGCACCCGACCACCGCGGGAGGAGAATGGCAGGACCCAGGGCCGGTGATCACACGGCTGAGCGGGCGCCACCCAGGACACCACCCCGCCACCTAAGGCACAACCAAGGGTCGCCTGCCTGCCGGATCCCATCAGTTCCGCAGGGGCACCTGCGAGGTTCCGACCCTTCCTGGCCGTTCGCGCGGCTGAGCTGTGTCCCCGGGGAACCCCGCTCGCGGCCAAGTAACGTGCATTGGGCCCAGAGAAAATAGGTCCGAGACATTGCACGATAATCGGCGCCTCGGGGATAATGGAGTCCACCCAGGCAGTTCGCGCGACGGCGAGGCCCCAGTGGTCATGGCGCCGAGAAGACCTCCAGGAAGCCAAGGACCAGACCTGAAGCATGCATCGGGGCAACTTTTCAAATTTGGCGCAGATCCCGCCAACCGACGCGGCAGGTCCCCTCTAAGCATCGGCCCTGGACCTAGCAAACGGCGCGAGCTGGGCGTAAGCCGACTCCTCGCCAGCGGCCGATTCCCGGAATTGTCTCGCCGCGGAGTATTCTCCACCAAAATTTGAGTTCCTAATTGGGCCACCTCTATGCGTAACTGGGCCCATAGGGCACCTAGGAACCTTCTAGCTCTGGAAAATCTACAAAAGCCGAAGACACGAGGGCTCCGACCTTTTTCGTTCTTGAGTTCCACGAAAGTCCAGATCGACCCAACACAGTTTCGCCGCCAGTCCGAAACGCCAAGCCAGAGTTCAGCCAACGGAGCAGCCCTCGACAGAACCGAGCAGGTGGGCCCGACCACAACGTAAGGGGGGTCCCGGGTATTGCACTCCTCGCGCCAGAGTTCCTTTTCTTCGTATCTTTTTCGTCGCGTTTTGTTTCGGGATTTTCCAAGTCGGGCAGGGCGACGTAGAAATTGAAGGGTTCCTTTCTGTTCTGGGTGTATTATTGCTGGAACTAGCGCGGGAAAGAGTTGCGATCCGAAAGTGCCTCCCTATTTAAGGTAGAGTTCGCGCGAATTTCGGGAGCGACCACGTGGCGGTCGAGAGATTTTTCGGGAGATGTGTCGGGAGAAATTAAGTAACTTTTCAGTAGAGTGTCTTTTCGAGAAAGGTAAAGTAACTTTTGGGATAAACTGCTCTTCGGGAAATCCCTTGAATGTCGCGGGAAATGTTCCCCTTCGTGATACATCGCGGATTAGACTCGGTTTACCGGAAAGAGAGAAAAGGAGAGTCGTAGAGTCGAGAATTTTAATACTCATCGGTATTTTCGAGTCTCGAACTGCGTACATCGCATCAGATCGCAAATCACTGAATGCCTGTTTGGATTGCCGAATATCTTTCGGATTCGTTTGAATTTCGGGACATCAGGCGAATCAAATCTAAATCCTTCATTCGGAAGTACGCGATCAGCTCGAGGCACCGAGCGAAGAAGCGGCGAGGCGACCGGCGAACCGTCCGCGTTACTCGGTGCGTGATAGCTGTCGCGGCGCCGATAAAGTAAGTGTACACTGACATTCATCGATGGTTTCCTCTCGAACCTACTGCCCTCTTAAGTCGCGCGGCGTACTAGCGACGGTAGCAGCGCAGAATTTGAATCGCCCAAAAGGCAGAGTGAATTTCTCAAAGAAAATAAATGTTTGTAAACAAAAACAATTAATGAAAATTATTTAAATATTACTGTGAAGTGTCCCTGACCCACTTAAAGTAGATTTCTTTAAATGATTACATACAGAATTTCTTAAACAATATATTAAAACATATTTCATTAAAAGTTAACGAGTTTCATAGCGATTCAGTTGTTCCATCCACTGAAACGAAGTTACAGTATTATCTTAGCATAAAAAAGTGCATTAATATTTAGGCAGTTAAATGCCGCAGAAAAATCAACATTGCATCCACTTTCGGATATAGAAGCGGGATCATGATTCCATCTCGATTATATATTTACGTTCTACGTCTTTCTCCATATTCCTCGAATAAATGGACACCTGTAAATATAAGTGAGTCTTTGTTATGGGAGTTTTTTGTAAACCCAAACATGAGTAACTTTCATGAATTGAATTCATTCAAAATAGGTTTCTAAAATGTAAAATACCATTTTCTACTTTGTGTTTGAAATAGGAACAATTACTATTTTGGATTTCCTATTTTAAATAGATTTTGAATAAATTATCGTTTAAAATTAAGTACTTCCAGAGAAATGAGAATATTAGAAAGGAATCGATCACAATGATACTTATTCTATCTATTGAATCAACTCTCGAAACAGTTAAATAACACGCATAACTGGAAATAGCCACTTTCGCAAAAACTGATGAACTTAAATAGTTTACTTGCATTTTAAATTCAAATACAACTCATAAAATTACGTGTCCGAATAAAGCATGGACAACGAAGGGTTAACGGTACGAGTAGATGGCAAAGTTTATTTGAGACGATAGTTCTCGTGAAGGAATTGATTCTCCTCTCCCTTTGTCATTTAGGTGATCGTGGTCGTCGCAAAATGACCATCCACTTTGCTAACCGCGGAAGGAAGGAGCGATAAGGCCCGAGGGTAAACGACTCCAAGCGAAAATGTCGTTCGGAGGCATAAGACCCGCGAGAGAGTAAGAGAGAACGCTGCTCCTAAAGGGACGAGATCGTAGTCCGGGGTCGAAAGAAAGTCTTCCTCGCCGCTATGAAAACATTGATGCTAATCCGATTATCGGGACGCCGATGTCGAGACTTTCATAAAAGGGGGTGAAATGCGCGAGACCGGAGTTTTGAGAGTGGTAGTGGAAACCTATGCAAGGAGTAAGAAAGAACGCCACGTCTAGGACCCTTGGCCCCGAGATGACGACCGAGAAGGCCCCGTCGAAGTGAACCCTATTCCTGGTCAGGGCCCGAAACCCGGCCGCATAAGTCGGTCCTTCAATTTCTAAGGATGGCGCATCAGATAGGCTATCTCACTCGGACACATGGCCTCCAGGGCGGACATAGAGACACAAGTATGCAATCGCCTTACCGCACCGACCCTCCGTCCTCGTGTTACCGCCGAGGTTGAGTGTCGATGGACTCGATCGCTATTCGGATGGGTTACCGTTCTTGAGTGATGTTCTGAAAAACGCATGCCTCTGAGTAATTTGGAACTTATTATACTTACGTATCTTGACCCATTGATCGTTAATATGATAGTGATAATTGGCGCAGTGTCATTTTCAAGATAAAAATGATAGTTAATCATTTTTGCACATTTTGACATTATTTCTCTTTAGCACAAACTTGAGAAAAAAATTTCGTAGATGAAAGTTGTTATCCTCGAAAAAAATTCAACTTTTATGTTATACTCATTTTTTCTCCATAGCCGTCACTTTTAGAGAAAAATGGAATACATTCCTCAAATACAAAAGTATAATTAACTGTGGGAGATCTTCACGCGGTAAACGCGCTAGAACGGGGAGGGAGGGATGCTTAAGAGTCAGGTCAGGTTACTTTAAATATCTTGGGGGTCCAATCCACGCATGTAATGATCGGGGTCGTATAGATTAGTTGTATGAACTAATTTCCTGTTTCAGTAATGTATTTCATTTTTCTCGATAAACGGTTTTAGAACAAAAATGTATAGAATATAAAAGGTCGATTTTTTTTCAACAGCTACCCTTTTCATTTCCATCGGCTACTCTCATTAAACAATATTAATCAAAATAATATAAGAAACGCGAAAAATGATTGAAAACTGATTTCACTTTGAGGACGACATTTCGTAAATTTTCACCATCATATTCGTAATCAGCGCGTCAAAAAAAAAAGGTATACGAAAATCCAAATTATTCGAAAGTTATGCGTTTATCAGAACAATATCCCCGTTCTTCTTTCCTTTCGCCTACGCGTGTCACATTTGAGAGAAAATTAATGCTACGAAATACACCAATTTAATCCCATATTTGATATTGCAATGTTACGTGGCGGCCGAGTGGCTAGCGAGGCCGGGAGAATTTTTCAGATTCCTCCAAGCGGTATATGGTTTGTAGGGGAATTAACTCAGAACAGATAGAAGTTAAGATCTAAGCTGTCACTTTTTTGGTAAAACTTTTCACTACAGAGAAAATTATGAATCTTGTTTAACTATTTGACAAAATGTTATTTACGGTTAATTATGCTTTTATAATAAAATTTTGACTTGAATATTCAAGCCGTAAGTAGTTAAATGACTATTTCTAATTAGAAACAGGTAGTCGATAGATATTAGCGCAATGTCAATCAAGTATCGACTATTCAATATTGATAATAGTGACAAAATAGTTATCCTAAGATCAATTTATTTACACATTCACGAATGCCTTTACATTTTAGTCCAAAGATTCAAGACTGCATGTAGAAGAGCAACTGGTGGCAAGGTTTCAAAGGAAAATATTCTTAATGTTTACGGAATTGGCGAAATGAAATATATAAAAGAGATTAAACAGGTTCGAGGCTTTTGTCTATTAATTACTTTTATCATTAAAAGTCATGTAAGATTTTCTGTTGACATTGTTCAGAAGGCTTGTAACCCTTAAACGATCGATTTAGCTCATACAGTAACTTTTGTATCCGCCATAGAATATAGTGTATTAGTATTAGCTTGCTCTTCTTACAATTACCAAAATTAAAACAATGTGCAGGAACATCATGCGTGCGACAACACATTCAGGAACAGAAAACATTAGAGAGTGTTTTAATGTTCAATAAGTGTCTGCAGTGTTTACAAAGTGAATCAATGTAATATTAAAAACCTGAAACTATTTATGTTTGTTAATATTAACAAGATTTAATTAAATTACTGTTCAAGTATTATCAAAATAGAAGCAAAGTGCTATAAACACTTAACAAAAATTAGACGTTATCTCAGGTAAAATTGTATAAACATTCCAATCAATAATAGAAAACTCAGAATTCATTCTAATGCCGTATAAGCGTGAATAAGGTGCCAAGTACGTCGCGTTCCCGTATGATGTTTTAATTTTGGTAGCTGAAAGAAGAGCAAAGTTGGATTCGATATAATGTTCCATACCTGATATAAAAATTTCTGTACAAGTTGGGTTGTTCGATTTCAAGTTATAATCCATTTAACCGATGTCAACACAATATATATTGTTACATATGTATTTGTTCATGAGAAAAATTAAAGCTCAGCACATTAAAACCCCGAACTTGTTAAATCATTTTTCTATTTTATTCTACCAGATTAGTGAACATTAAAAAGGATTAAACACCTTTCCATCGGAAACTTTACTACTAGGTGCTACTTCATGCGTGATGTCGAATCTTTGGCCTGAAATCTGAAGGCATCGGTAAATATATTAATAAATTGAAAACCATAAGTTTACAAGGTAACTCAGTCAACAATGTATAGTCGATACATGATTCACATTGAGTCAACATTGATCGACTATCCATTTCTGATTAGAACTAGACTTTTAAGTACATATAGCATGTGTATTCAGTACAACATTTTATAACAATTCCACAAATAACAGTTTGTTGAATATTTAGAAAAGGAGTTGTCTTAATTCAAGTGAAATCTCACCTGAAAAGGGACAGATTAAATTTTATCTTCTATCCTATTATGACATTTATTTAACAAAGTATTAAATAGATATTGTTCTTACCGTTTACGGCACACAAATATTCTTTTTATTGTGAGCGTAACACTGGAACTAATCACGAGAGGACCACTATATCAATGTTGGACGTCTGCTAGCCTTATCAATGTCATATCAAAAATGATATATTTAATAGGAAAACAAAAACTTGTGAAATATCCTACAAAAATCACTTCCATGTAAAAAAAACCTTGCCAAGTACATGATCATTGCGAATCTCCACTTTCGGGGAAAAAAAAAAAGTAATTAGATCTACATTATGCTTCTACCTTAAAAAAAAAAACTGAAATCGAAGCACAAAGCCAAGTGCATACATCGGGAAGTATCTGTTTCTTATAATCTGGCATTAGTTTATCATTCTTTTTTCATTTACGAACTTCGTCGCCTTCACTAGTTTTGTTATTACTGCAAATTTCATTTAAGTTTAATAATCATTATCTTTTTTATTATGTACAATGTTAAGTGATTTCTTATTGAATACTACTTGACGGGTCCAGTGGAAATTTGCAGTAATAACATAAAACTAGTGAAGGCATCAAAGTTTGTAAATGGAAAGGGAATCATAAACTACTGCCAGATTATATAAGAAGCAGATACTTCCCGACATATGCACTTGCCTTTGTTCTTTGATTTCAGTATTTTTTGAAGGCAGAAGCATAATGTGGATCTACCTTTTTTTTTCTCCCTCCCCAAAACGGAGTTTCGCAGCGACCATGTTCTCGGCAAGGTTTGTTTCACAAGAGTGTTTTTGTAGAGTATCAATTTGACCTAGCTGACTTAACTTTCCTGGACTCTTGATGATTCAATGTCATTGCAAAATATGCATGTAAAAAGCAGAAAGTATAATAGAGAGTATCAATCACAATAAAGGTCATCATTCAAATTAGTTCTTTTCGTTTATAAATAAATGATTTCTTCTCGTGCCCAATCATTTTGGAATTCAATTTTAAGACATTATTTGTTTTTATATTATATTACAAAAACAACAGAAATACTTTGTGCTGTCGATTTGAAAAGATAAGAATTCAAGATAATAAACATACCAAACGTAAAAGTTCTTCTGCAGCTTCTAGAAGTGCGCCTGAGAAGATAACAACAAAGTTTGTTCCATCTCCCACTTCTGCTTCTTGCATTTCAGAAGCTAGAACCATCAACTTTGCAGCAGGGTGTTCAACTTCCAATTCTTTAATAATGGTAGCTGCATCATTCGTGACAAACAACTTTTCAATGTGATTGATCACCATTTTATTCATACCATTTGGTCCATAAGCAGTACGTACTGTTTGTGCAAACTGTTTACAAGCTGATATATTATTGTATACAGCTTCTTCTAATCCAGTTAAATGCTAGAGTAAAATACAAAAATTATCGATTAAGAACATGAAATATCATTACTGGTTGAAATGAAGTTCAATAAAACCAACCATGAACAATTTCATTTCTATAATATCATGAAAATCAAGATAAGTATTCGGTTACAAAATTTTCGAAAAGTTATTATTCAAACGAAACTTCATGTAAGTTAATCGTACAATTATTTTCTCAAATAAAAAAATCAAAGTATTTCTTAGGTTTTTTAAATAACTATGATACTCTTAACAAGCAGTTTTATAATCGCTGTAATGAAATATTATCATATTAATAATAATATATGGTTACTATGACTGCCAATATATTTGGGACATGATACATACAAATTTGGATTATTTAACCCTAAGTTCATGCCATAGTTTTGGATTAACATAGCTCATGTTAATGGGTTGTTTGTGCCCAGGTTTATTAATACTAGAACTACCGGCGGATTTTTTTTGTATAGAATGGGCCATTNATCCACTGAACTGAAGTTAGAATACGTTTTATTACCTTGCAGCGGTAGGACATTTTCCCTGTTTACTCTGTCGATGAACACGGCGAGAACAGCGCCGATCGATAGTTTTGGATTAACATAGCTCATGTTAATGGGTTGTTTGTGCCCAGGTTTATTAATACTAGAACTACCGGCGGATTTTTTTTGTATAGAATGGGCCATTTGAAACCAGTTATTTTGACTGGTCTTCGTAGTTCTGGTGTTAAATAATGTTGAAATTGTACAAATGAGATCAATTTGTACTGAAATATTTATTTAATCTTATAGATTAAGGAACATCAGCTTAGAAGATGAAAAACAATATTTAAATAATTGTTTAAACAAATTAAAGTTAAAAGAATAAGAAAAGAAGAAAGAAGAAGAACATAGTAAACTTAAAAGAATCTTTGGAGATATTACAGGTAACAGATTTCAGCTGATCATGAAAGACCCAGCGACATGAACTCAGGATTAATTTCAATTCAATGGCCCAGAGGCAGTGAAAATAAAAACAAATACAATTATAATCATTATGCACTTTTTGAATTCTAGGATGAAACCACTTAAAGTGCTGCTTGACAGCCGACATTCAAGTTCATATCAACAGGACTCAGAGGTACTGATATCAATGTGCCTAGAAACATCGATGATACAAACTAAAGTGTTTGCGAAACGATTGCTGTCAAACAACATGAAATGGCTACATCCCAGAAGCCAAAAAGTACATAAAGAACAACGACCACGGAAGCCTAAAATCTTTAAAATTATAATTATCCTGATGACCCATATATTAGCTAAATAAAGGCATTACGTTATTGAAATTATGCTATTTGAATATTTGTCCCTAAGTTTCCCATTGATTATCATAATTCCATTACTGTAGTCTAGCTTTAAAAGATACAACTGCTTAAAATAATAGCTGGTAATGTTATTTTTAAAATATATAAATATAGCAATCAACAATAATATAAGGGTATTGCAAAGATTTATGTCAAAGTACTAAGCATAGGCACCGACAAAACTGCATACCATTACAATATATTAATAAATTGAAAACCATAAGTTTACAAGGTAACTCAGTCAACAATGTATAGTCGATACATGATTCACATTGAGTCAACATTGATCGACTNTTCTTTTAGATACTACTTTAGCTTTAAAAAAAATGTCATATTTATTAACCAGGAAAAAAAAAATTACTGAAAATATGTGCATTCAGTTTTCAATTTTAGATGATCATAAAATCAAACTGAATACATTCTAATAGGTTCAACACTAGAAACGGCTTTTTCTATGATACAAAGGTATGTTGGATTGATTTTGTCCTATAGATAAATATATTGAAGTATCATTGAATCTTTTTGATTCCGTTCATCCATAAAAGGCAAGACAACCAAAGGTTGATTTGCCTTTTATGGATAAACGAAGGTACATTCTCATAGTTTATTTTGAAATTAATAATCCATTAACTAGATCCATGGCAGAATATATCGGTGACAAATATATTACGAACCCGAGCTCCTTCTTTTAACATCTGAGATACGCCAGGAGGCTTAGGCACGTGTAAAGCCATTTTTTGTCGTTTGAAAAATCGGATTGATCAGTCACTTCGTTCCTTCACTCACGTGGCTAACCTCGGTCGGCAGCGTGAACGTATTCAAACGTATTTGCCAGAAAGCTATTCCCAAATAGAATAAGGGGATCTATTAGACAGACATGAGTTGAAAGATTCTTCACGGGCAGGATCGCGCAATTGTTATCCTGCGCTACACTCGGTGCACAATATGGGCGGCTCGTGTGTGGCGTCGGAAGCTAGGACAACGGTACATATATACGCAGTTCAAAAAACCGCCGCAAACGACGCTCCGAAGACCGGGCAACACGCAATCACACCTAGAGTTCTAAATCCAGTAAGTTACGTCAGAAACGAAGAGAAATTCCCGGTAACTTATCGGTAATTTCTCCAAAGCCTTTTTTATGGAGAAATTATGAGAATTTGAATTTTTCAACAGAGCGAACGAGAGGTTTCGATTAGCTATAGAGAAACATCGTAGAGGGGAATTTCCGTTGTACGTTCTCCGTAGCCTATCAAAACCTCCCATTCGCTTCGTCGCAGAATGAAATATCAGTTCGTTTGAAACAAATGGCATGAAATTTTCCGTGAAGTTGTACATACGTGAATATTTTTAGCTGGAGGTAAATACCACCCTATAATCAATATTTTCTAATAGTAATTATTACTCTATAGCTTGAACTTTGAAGTTGATTGAAAAAAAAAAGATATTTAAACGAAGAAACCTAAAGTATAAATAACAAAATTAACGTTCTCTTAAATTCTCAATGTTCCCGGTAACTTACGGTATGTTTCACAGTTACCTTCTCCAGTTTAATGTTACCGAGAATTTTCGAACTCTAATCACACCTTGGTTCGCCGTGACGATATATAAAGAGTAAACTGGACTCCGTCGATGGTTTCCTCCTGTCCGCTCTGCCCTCTCCGGCTGCGCAGCGTACTAGCGGCGGGAGCAGCGCGGAATTTGAATCGCATGAGGGGTAGAATGGATTTCCTAAAGAAAATAAATATTTATAAAAAAAACAATTAATTAAAATTATTTAAGTATTATTGCCGAGTGTCCCTGATCCACCTTACGTAGTTTTTGTTAAATGATAATTTACAGAATTTTTTAAATAATATAATGAAACATGTTTTATTTAAATGTTAACAAGTTTCTTAGCCATTCAATTGTTCTATCCACTGAACTGAAGTTAGAATACGTTTTATTACCTTGCAGCGGTAGGACATTTTCCCTGTTTACTCTGTCGATGAACACGGCGAGAACAGCGCCGATCGGAGAAAAAGGAATAAATTTAATAAATATTAACAACTGCAATACCGTCAAACGGGGTCAATCAGTGCGATTTTGTGATTCTTATGTTAGTAACATTTATTTATTTCTTTTAACAAGTTGGTTTCAATTTTAGATAACTGATAAATATCCTTGAATGCCATTAAGAAGCAATTTATAGGGTGAACCATAGTTTTGATATAATATTTTCTGTAGATGCCCCAATACACTCCAAGTTGGGGGTCAATAAGTACAAAAAATTAGAAATATTAGGTCGACACTCAAGAAACAAGTTTTTTTTTCCAACAGAAAATACAATCTGCTATTAGGAACACCATGTGCAACCCTTATCAAACATATGTTTTCTCATATTTTTTACTAACACGCTGAAAAAAAAAGAGAGTAATGTTACGTCAAAATTGTAACAATTTATTGATCCGCACTCAGATCAGCTTACCTGCTGCGCGGATCAACAAACCCCCTTTTTGACCACGAATTTAATCGTAGAGCCAGGGACTGGGGCGCACAGAGGGTCAGGGCGGAAAGAATCAAAGCTAGGGGTTCAACAATAACAATTTTATTAATAGGGAACAGTTTAAAATTAACCTATAATTACAAGTAAATATTCGCTGAATGGTATAGGGTCGACTTCGACAAACTCAATTAAGATTATGGGAGACCTTGGAAATCGCAAGTACAAATACACAGTAAAATTCGAATGCCCGAATTTGAAATCGCAGACTTACCTTAGTAAAATCGAAGGGAGGTATCTCCCCAGTCTCTTTACGTGGGGGAGCAATAGCAAAGTTCCGATACAATAGAGAACCAGGATTCGAGAATAAGTTGAACAGTCAAAAAATATCAAAACCCGAAAATACTATTAAGAAGGTACTAATTCATGTCATATCCCAAGAATAAAAGTCTAAAGACAAGCTCGCTATCAAATTTCCAAGATAAATATTTAGGAATAAGATTGTAAATTTTTAATGTTCACAGAAAAATATAAAACTTAGGATCAGAATTCAACACCTAGATTCAAGAATGGAGCTAAGAACAAAATTTAACAATAAATAAAAATTTCTAAACAACCAATGTCAAGATCCAAGAATAGCAGTTCTAAATTAAAACTCAACATCAAAATTCAAGAATAAACTTCAAATTTCAAGAATGAAATTAAAACCAAAATTTGAATATTAAAATCCAACGATAAAGTTCAAGAACAGAGGTTAATGCCAAAATTTGAGAATTGAAGTTAAGGGTAAAATTTTATGTCAAGATTCAAGAGTAAGGGTTAAGAATAGGGTTTAATATCAAAGTGCGGGAATGAACTCGAAAATAAAGTCTTAATATCGAACTTCCAAAGCGAAAATAAATCCTTAATATCAAATTTCAAAAATCGGAAATAAATTCTGGGTATCAAGCTCAAAATCAAGGATAAACATCAGCTTTCAAGGGGACAAGGCGGGGGTAAACATCAAGTGCAAAAGCTAAAAGTCGAAATTAAACATCAAATTTCAAAGGATAAAGTATCGAATTTCACAGGATACAGATAGAAAATAAATATCAAATTCCAAAAGATAAAAGTAGAGAATAGCTATCGAATTTCAAAAGGTAAAGGTGGAGAATAAGTATCGAATTTCAAAAGGTCAAGAATAAATTCTTAATGTCAAATTTAAAAAATGCGACTGCAATACAAGCAATTACCGGTAACTCGGAATAGGACTTAGTAATATCCTTCGAGAATTTTGGTTCAAATTGAAAGACTGAGCGATCAGGGAATAAATAATTGAAACAAGTTGCAAGGGTGACAATTCAAATAACGGTCTCAAAATTAGGGAGGAAGGACCTACTATAAGCGCAATCAACAAAATACACAATGTAGACAGATCAATACCAAATATGGGATTCGTGAACAATTATATTTCGCTATAAAATTATATTAATTCGCGAAGACACAATACGATATTTCCGAATTACAATTACAAGCTTGCGCGAGACCCGACTAATTCGGTCAAAATGATCTAATTCCGCACAATTGCACATTAGAAAAATTTAAAATCTCAATTAGTTCAACACAGCATTTAGAGTAGCTCTCAAAATTTAATCGGACAGCATAAAGTTTAAACATGAAATAATACTTAAGACGCAGAATTGAAATTTACGAAACAGAGGAAATTTCACCTTTAATTCCAAATGACTGAATAATAAATTCAAATAGAAAATGTAAACAACGGCTGTCAAAATAATCAACGAATGACACAATAAATTTCTACGAGTGGCAGAAAAATTATCTGTTCATGAGAACATTAAACGAACGACACTGTAATATAATTAGGGTATTGGACAATCAGGTGAGAGGTACTGAACTGAGTCGTATGTAAAATGGTGAATTTAAGCACAGCACCGATTTGACAGATTTCAATTCACTCAATGGCTTGAATGTATTATAAGAGTGGGAGGACTCGAAATTAGAAGGTTCATACACAATTAACCCGAATCCCACTGACTGAAATTGAAGTTTAATAACGTTGTGAATAAATTGATTTTATCTCGGTCAATCAGAACAAGATTCCTGAGATACAAAATTCACTAGTACTTAATATGACGTCCGGATATTCCACCCGATTCATACGTTGTTCGGGTAATCTCACCAACGATAAAATCAAGGTACACAGTTTCGGTAACAAGCAGTATAAATAAGTATTCTAACCAAGCTCATTCACATTAAATAATATTTTACGCAATAATATTTCGATCGATTTAAATTTCACAAGTAACATAAGATTAAAAAAAGGGGGGGGGGCGAGTAAAGTTTATTACACGGATTCGTATAAATTCGGTGATTTGATCGACTCGCGGACTTGACCGAACCTACTTTGACAATCGATTATAAATTGGTATCGGAGTGGCATTCCTCGAAATGAAGAAGGGTTCCCCGCGAACCGCCCGATTCAGATTAATTGGAGATTGAGTCTAAATGGCACTAACGGCAATTAAGGTCCCCTTGATCAATCAAGCAAAAGTTACTCATTCGGGAAAATAGAACTTGATCTAAACACGGATATCACCGATAACCGAAAGGATGTCAGGATTATTCACGCACTTCACCCGTCGTCCGACAATTTCGGGAACAATAGTTCAAAATTTCCGATCGCTAATCACTTTACGAACCTCGATCAAGGGGGACGGCACTTTCCCATAAACGCGATTTCACTCCCGATTCGAGACAGTTTGATCCCGGGGGCAAGGAAATATCGCGACCCGAGAATCTAATATCAAGAGGGAGAAAGACAAACAAAAAGGGTACTTAGCAAGGATCAAGATGGAAATAGACTGAATTCTAACCTTGAGTGTCGGTGTGTCTAAATCTGGGCGGGTTGATGTCAGGACCGCTGGTTTCCCCTTTTTCCTTAGATTGGGCTTTCACTTGGCCCAGTCGAATTTGGTCCCTTTTCCAAACGCTGCTGAGTCGGCAGGAGGGTTGTTGGAGTCTCTTTTTCGGAGGTGTGTACTGTCAAAATTTCTAAGACGGAGTGCGCTCCCGGCCGAGCTCCAGATTTTCTGCGGCCTCTTGGGCTAGGAGTAGGGGCAAGAGGCCCTCCTAGGTGGGGCCCATTTTCTGCTGCATCTTCAAATTCCTGGAGCTCGGTAGCGCCTCCAGGACAACGAACCAGGTGCTGACGCGAGGTTTCGCGCCCGGAGATCTTCCGACGGCGCGTGGCCCCCGCGAACCCGTGCGCACCTCTGGAATGCCAGCTCTGCACCTTACTTCCGTTTTAGTGCAGGGCTCGCTTCCTCTAAACCCGATATAAAATCTAAATTTTAAAATCAAACCTTTTATTAGCCTACGGCGGGACGTAACAGTAAATTCATTTAATTTTCTGAGTTAAATGTGGCGAACTCAATAAATCAG